TGTTTGTAACAAGCGGAATGTATATAACTACTCGAAATGTTATCAATTTTGATCTATGAAGTGAAACAATAGATTGATCGTTTCGAGATCAATAGCTGTTTTTATAAACTGAACTGTGCAGTCATTCAGTAACCTTATTTTGGACTAGCTTCCTGCGTAGAAATTACAAATATACTCATAGTTGTGTAACGGGTCACACATGAATTTCCTCGGTTCTATTCTCGATGTCCATCCCAAGAAGAAATAGAACCAAGGATCAGGATTGTGGAAACGCTGTATTCTGAAACTTCCGAAATGTTCGAAACGAGCTTTGGCGTCATTTTAGCAACAGCAATGGAAATCTAAAAGTGGATCTGATCAGAACAGAGCAAGCGTGCGATTTAGAGCTCACCGTGTCGGTGCGGTTTTTTCGAGCTCATTAAAAGCACGTTATTAGTTAAAGCTAAACTTAATTCTGGAAATGTCCAAGTTGCTTTATCTAATGAAGAAACTTTCCTTGGAAGATCATTATCGTCGAATAATGGCGATACATGCTAAATCTCAACGGTACACTTCATTGTGCCCGGTGGAGAAGGGTCCTTATGATAGAAGGAAAAAACATGACGGTAGCCTAGCTTTTGCAATAATTCACCCTGATCGAAGGGTTAAGTCACTACTAGATATCTGAACTTTGATTGCTCTGATAAGTATGCCACGGTTATGTAACCATGTCCTGATGGTCCTACATTACAGAGGACTGGTTGGAAACTAAACCTGTCCTGCTGCTGGTCACACCAGCGTAGGGTGAAGGTGCTTCTAGTCCGTGATTTGATGATCACGTCCAGCTTGAATGGATCTACCAGTAAACTTAGAGGAAAGCTAGAGGCAAGAAGAGAAAACTGCCGTTGCAAAACTGTCGGTTCAAGAACCGCTAGAAATTCACTTGAAACGTCAGATTTATCGTTTTGGCTTTTGAACCAAGTGGGAGCGTTCGTGAGTGTGAGATGCGGCTTTATCTCTATCTGAAACGTGTCTTCTTGAAAGAGCACTATGTGGACCATAAAGAATAACAGCCCTTATGTTAAAGCTGAAGGGTACAAAACATTTTCCTCCGTGTGAATAAACTCTACTCTGTGCAGTTTTCATTTTACTTTGTTCCTTGCTTCAGGGTGTGAAATTCGTCGACTACGGTCATTCGTGACGAAACTCTAAACGAATCCCGTAGCCCGCAAGCAACCAAGTGACGACCGGTTAAACTAGAAGACTTGTGGTTGCAACAGACGTGCATTGCACAGAGGGTGTATCGGTGCACAAGCTAACGGAAATGTGCATCAAAGTTCGGAGGTGATGAGGAACAAAGAGTGTGAAACAAAATCGAAATGAACTTAAATTTCTCGCGTGGAAGGACACAGTGTAAAACCAATGGCATAATATGTTGGTATGAACGCAAGCATACATGTAGATTGCGGTGGAAAAATGATACCCAGTAAGTATCATATTATCCAAATTTCTCCAAACAGCCACACTATGAGATTCTTCGTCTTTCCGATTCGTCGAATTTGTGATTGGAATGCATGAGGTATCGAGTGTTTTATCCGAATTAGTCTGGTTGCTATTTCGTCCTGCGTATCGTATCTACATGTCGCTCCAAGTACCCAGTTGGTCGAAGTTCTTCCATATATGACTGCATTACCGTTGGCGCAAAACGGGTGTAGTGTGGTGAGAGAAAGAGAGAGATAGGAAAATATCTTTGTGCTACCCACACCGCAGACCAAGATGAAACCAGCCTGCAGCGATCAAACTTTTTTCTTTTTTACTTCGTGTTAATGAATATGCAATGATACAATTTTCAGGACTGAGGAAGCAACCAATCAAATGGCGACCATTCAACACACAACAGTCAGGTGGTGGTGATGGTGGTGACGTTGACACCGGGCCACCACCGTCCAAAAGTAGCTTCGACAAGGCGAATTCGAACCACCGACATAAGGATCACTGCACAAGTGCACGCGCTTCAGTCCTCCGCACTACCAACTGAGCTATCGGCCTAGCAATGATCAGGACCTTATTTGGCTGGGAGAGATATATGGTGCATGAAGCTAAGTAGTTAGCACACGTCGAAGTTCGATATCTTAAATCCTAAAGAGAGAGAAATGCTATTATCCTAATAAGCGGTAATGACGGTAAATGAACTAAACTAATAACTTGCGCGCATTTCCATAGAAAATGCCTCACTATGTTTACTTTCACGTATCATATAACCAAGAAAAGAAACATATCGCTTGTAAATTGGTGATAGCTTCTCAAGAAAGCAACGAAAGGGATACTTTATTATCCTTATTGAAATATTCGGTAATTCTGTGGAAAAGAAGTGTGTTTGAGAGAGCTATTTTCAGATGGATATTCGATCCAACCGTCAATAGTTGGATGCTAAACATGAAGCAGAGAAAGCACGCCCGTTCACGTCGTCATTATCATCATCATTATAAGCATCCAAGTCATGGGCATCATTCTAAGCCACCTAGTTCTATCCCTGAATGTTGCATTGCCGGAATGTTTGAAGATGATGATCTAACGATACACTCATTCTTTTATTATGTTGTATGCGAAAACTGACTCCTTACACTTTACGCAAATTATGATCTCATCAGAAATGAAGTTAACTTTTATGCTTATATACGGTGAATATTTGGATGAGACCATTCGGTTTTTAACAGGCAGCAGGCACTGTTGATGATCTTGGGTGCGGTTTCCATTCCTTGGTAGATCGTCAACTCCTCATCAGGTGAGTGCACTTAAGTGCGATGGAAATCTTTGTGATGACCGACAAAGGATACAACTGAACTGCTGGTTCCGTTTAGGATTCATTAGTAGTGTGTACTTTTTGTGTCCTCGACAGGACTTCAACCGAGACCCCCAACTCGAAGACTCGTGGTTCGAGTCTTGACAGGAAAATAAAATGCACAGCCTGCTGACGAGTACCAGACGGAACGAACAGCTTTATCCATTGTCGATTGTCTGTCATCACAAAGATTTGTATCACATTTGAATGAACTTCTATGCTTTTATTCAATGTGTATAGCATTCTTACAGATTTGCACAATTCCAATAGCCGGCAGTATGTTACAGATTGACAAAGTTCTATTTCTCACCTTGCCGGTCTGAATTTAGGCGGGATGTTCGCACACAGTTGATCTGTAGCAAAGAAATCATCCATCCCGGATCAGATCGCGTTGAGCACCGATAAGTGCTCCGGTACTAGTGGTTTTGGAGAATCCTGGGTTGACAAAAATAATTGCACGTGAAGTAGACTTATCACTTGACTTCCGCTGCTTTTTCTCGCTCATTTCTAAGGTGAACCTGGACGTGCCCGTGGCACAAAGAAAACTATATAATTTTGCCTGTTAACCGAGCCTGGCTCTTTATTTGCAAACGTTTCCGCATTACTCGAAGAGCTACAGAAACCGATTTTCAGAACTTCATCATAACAAAACTATTTCGGAATGGCATGAGAATAATACTGTCAGAATCTGGTTGGACGGATCTAGTTTCTAGTTTTCTAGACTGGCGGATGGTCAGTGGTGACGTGCACACACACACACACACACACACACACACACACACACACACACACATCCAAGATGACGTTTGTGTCATGCTATACCTAATACGATGAAGTTATGTTCAAGAGCAACCTCTAGCATCGATAATCCCAGTTTAAGCCGGTACCAATAAGCTCATAGCATCTGCAGTCTTGTATCTAATCTAATGTTTCTTTCTCGTTTTTCGCGCGGAACTGGGAGATAGACGAGTACTTTGCTCTTTGTGACCAAGTTGCACCAAGTACTACCAAATTGTTCCTGCTCACTGTCTGATTGACTCCTCAGTTGTCCTTTGGAGTTGGGCTTACCTAACAAGAGATACTGTATAAGATTTGCACCGTGGATAGACCTGGAAACAAGGTCAGTTCAGTGTTTGGGAATTTGTGAAGTTCCCTCTTGTAGCGGCACTGTAAACGCAGTATGATTCACCACCGCGTCGTCCGGGAGGTCGGGTATTCGAATCCAACCACCATCGTCTGAAGTCCACAATTCTCTGTTCCCTGAAACCCCTTAGATTGTTCAGTCTTCTTTCTGTTATGTGTTTATGAATTTACCGGTTTGGTGAGAAGAAGTGGGTTATTATTATTATCATTATTATTACAGCATCATTTAGTTAAATTACTGTCGATGTGATCGGTGAAAATTGGGATGTGCCTATGTCATGTGTATAAAGTATACTACATAAATAAATAAATAAATGGATATCTTTTTATGACCACAACAAACGGATCCCGGTCGTTTGAGGGTGCAATATCTGGTTAATTCAGATAGACAGACAAACAGACAGACAGACATTTGCTCAGTCTGGATAGAGGTGGGAAAATTAAAGAAAGCAAGCGTCAATTATTTAGTAAATTTTCCGGAAATGAGCGACTCTGGGTATGCTCAATCTCGCAATTCTCACATAACCCTTTATATACGTCCGACCCCTTACTGATTTCAGTTCAGGTAATGAACAGACCACTAAAAGCGGGTGACTGAATCGCACACTAGAATCTGCAATATCATATATTTCATCCCGCAGCTCAACAGGACGTTTGAGAAGCATAAAACCGTGTATACTTGTATATAACAGACTATTCAAAGTGATTTACTCGAGGCTTAGGGGAAAAGATTTAACTTCTCATTCATTGTTACACTATCCGATATACACCGCCCTAATCTCAACCAGTTGGCGTCTTTCAATCAATCAGTTCGGGCGGTTGATGCATGAAGGATTACCGATTTAACTGGCTGGCTGGCAGACTGACTGGTCCGTTCGACAGACGGTTGAATTGCTTTGAGTAGAAACGTCAGAATAGTGTAATAATAGGAGCGCGATTTGTGGGACCTGACCAACGCACAGTTACGTTGGTTCATCTCTGTGTTGATGTTCGTTTGCTTGCTTGCTTGCTTTGAGGCGAACGCGAATCGAGTCGTATGCGCAGGGTGTACAAGGGTACCCAAGCGCTCACATGCCACCGTACACGGACAGACCAGGTGAGTACTCTCAAACGAAATAGAACCGACTGATGAGATTTACTATAGTTGGGTGGACATTTGGATGGATAAAGGGTAAAAAAAATCAGGGTGCGGGGGGAGGAAGATGAACGGATAGGTAGGTAGATAGGTGGTGGGGCGAATGATTTTGAGAAAGATTCACTATTTTGTCCCTCCATTAATACCCATGGTCCGTAGGTAGGGTGTGTCCTCATCCGGGAAACGTGGTAAACTCCGGGTACGCGCATACGATGAACAACGACGACCCGTACACGTAGGAGAATAGAATAAACTCGTGCACACAGGACTCGCGCGAGAACGAAAGAGAAGCCTCGTCTCACAGCAACAAAGCACCATAGAGACTGGCATACGTCGGATATTCGTATGAGAATACAATCGTACTATTTGCCTGTTTGTCCACGCTTGAATGACCGGGGAACCGCCAGTGTATGAATGGGAATGTACAGCATCATGATGGCGAATTTTTGTACGCCTTTGTACGCGTGTGCGTCTGTATGTCTCCATCTCCCGCAGCTCTGATGCGTGTTACCCACATTGTGTGCGTGGTCATCAAGTTCGATCTACCACGGGGAACTTTTGTGTGTGAATACAAATGAAAGGAAGGATTTGGTTTTAACGTAGCGAAGGGTGGATGAGTTGGCGATATATTCATGTGTATAGTGCGCGCTTGCGCGCGCAAATGCATGCATGCGTGCGTGGGTGCGTACGTACATACACATACGTACTACAAGCCAACACATCTATCCTTTGTAATCGCTGACTCAACTCGGTTGTGCACGCAATTATCAAAGGCTCATGCCATATACAAGAAGCACCTGTGTATGTGTGCACTCATTCCAACCAGGCACACGCACACGACCAGTAGTAGTGAGCGAACAGGCAAACGTACGACCAAATGAACCGCGCATAATCGCTCCAGTATTCGACCAAGTTGGGTACATCGTTCGAAAGCCATGAATTGAACTGAAATTTACATTCGCCAGACAGACCACATAGTCTGTTAGTTAGATCTATCCGAATTGATGATATATCACACAAATTTGTGATATTGCTCATTCCTCATCTACGGTAGACACAATCATAATGCTCTCGTGATGATGAATCAGTTTTTTCAACGTTGTAAGTGTAACACATTTGATAAGTAGTATTCGTTTGAGTGTTTGGACTAAGTTGCCCCGAAGGCACTGAACCGGTCTCGTAGAGGATATTCTCTGGTCACATTCTCCACATAGTTCGACGTCGGATATGTTTCTCCCCACGAATATTTATTTTGTGCCTCTGAGGATGTTTTAGCTCGGATAGGCTTCAAAATAAAAAGTGTGAATCAATGCTTGGATTCTTGGTTGCTTTTGGTATATGCTAGGTACGAATCGGTCAGTCAGTTGCCATTGATCGTCCAATCACGCGGTGCAGTCAGTGATTCATAATAGACACTGACCAGTATCCTTCCAGACTCTTCTCGTATATTGTACAAATGTATTGACTGGCGATGCAGTCAGTCATAGCTCATAGACACGGCACCACAAGGTCTTGTCAGTCTCCGTCTCGCTCTGTCGCACACACACACACACACACACACACACACACACACACACACACACACACNCACACACACGCACTCAGAAAAGCAGTTATTCGAGGATTTATGGTAAATAACCTTTCAGATTGTCACCGATCTCATCAAACAGACCTGTAATTTTGATTTGAACTGACCATCCTTCATATTGCATCTTCAAGTACATTCCTCTGTTCTTCCAGTCAACCATACACCAGGAAGCACTGGACTCGAGTTTCACCCTTATAAGAGTTCATCAGTAGTGCATACTCACCGGCTTTGAACTCCGAACCCATCGCATGGAAGGCGTGTCTGTTAAGGGTGAGCAAAACAGATCATACCGGGCTGAACCGTCTTGCCTATTCATGTTTTTTCAGGTGTCACGTTCAGTGATAGTCAATCAATTCATTTTGGCCCAACAGCAACAAAGCGAGACGCAGGTGACTATCTGTTAACTCCAACTCTTGTAAGAGCGAAACTCGAGTCTAGTGTATGGGTCGCTAGAAGAACTGTGGATTGTGCGTGCATGTGAAGTCTGAAGGATGGTCGGTTCAAATCAATATCAACTATCTTCCACCACTACTCACATGTAAATGAGAGTTCAATGTGAATCCTGTAATAGTCATGATCGTTAACCCTGGGCAGATTGGTTTACCTGATCTGACCATATGCATGCTGGGAGTCCATCTGAATGAAAGAAATAGCATAACTGATCTTTTGATTTGCGTCTTTTTTGACAGCCGTATGCGTTTGGTAGCATGGAGTTAGACTGAAAGATATTAGGGTTGTATAAGATTCCTGGCAAGGCGGTCATTGGTTCACAACAGACAATGATTTGGCAAGTCTCTTGGCCACACTCAGTAATTTGGTTTAGCAGTACAATATTAAGTGATTAGGAACCGATTCATCATGTAGCGCCATCTCACGTCTCACGTTGTTGATCCAATCAATTCTTAGGAGTGTTAGAGTGTTGCGAGAGGGCAGATGCGGAAGAGAGGAGTGTTTGGACGAAGGGGAAGAACACGATAACAGATCGGGATGCAGTGGGTGGAAAAGGGTCGTCTAGAGCCCTTTTGGCAAACTTAACACAAGAGTTAATGTGATTATTAATGAGTTCCATGATTATTAAATCTATTGGGATTAATAATGCACGACTGATTATCACCAAACTACGACGAATGGTTTGGAGGTTTTGTTTTAAAGGGCCTGGAAACAATACAGGGAAGCAATAGAGTTAGATATGGAAAGCGCATTGGTGAACGAAAGAGGACAGGACTGACTGCGGAGTTCGGAATTGTCTGAATTTTGTGAGTAAAAAGAAAGGCTCCTCATCTTTCCAACACAATTTTAAATGTGTGTGGACAAACGAAAAATACTGTAATGATCGTAGTAGTTGCTGTGGTAGTAGTAGAAGAAGTACGCACAGAATTCGGAACACGAACCACGCAATAGGAACCACAGGGCACGAATCAAGGATCAGCTATCACGGACTGGATTACGGAAGCACTGGACCGCAATGGCACGAGCTCGCAATATCCCACGTGAACGAGACGCGAGGAAAAGGCCACAAGACTGGCAACTCGTAGTTCGTTTATTGGAAGAAACGAAAGTGATTAAATAATATGTAAAACAGAAGGTTATTGGTTATCTAGTCTTCTACCAATCATATTGCAGTATTGCTTGCGTAATTCTGCTTCTGTCTGCACTGCCTCGGATTGGCTGGTACGATCCTTGTAATGGCGTGTAGTCAGAAGCCGTGACGCGCACACACGTCATTGACGTCACCTTTCAAATTCGACTGATCGCAGATGTCCAGAAACTGCAACGCGCCGCTCCAGGGTAGGGGTCAGCACGTAGGCATGGATCACCACAAATACTCTTGATGGTGACACCTAGGTACTTGAGTTAAGTCATTCTGGATACAGGTTCACAATGAAGGATTGCAGAGTCCGTTGGAAATTAGCAGCGGGTAAGACTGAAGATACACTCAACACACTTAGATTTGTTAAGACTTGGACCATATTGGTTAGAGAATTGTTGGATGTGGGATAGATTTTCAATGAAAGAATCGAATTGCGAAGGGGATGAAATTTCTTGACATAAAACGACGTGATCAGCAAACTTTGGATGTGTGCAGGGGGTGGAACCGAAAGATCACTAATAAAAGCAGAAAAAATACACAGAGATAAAAAGCACCTCGAAGCACACCAGAATCATTAACAAGGGGTTTTGATGTCACCCTTTCCAATTTGGTGTACTGAACCCTCTCTTTGAAATATTCAGAAAGCGGTGACAGTAGCTGTCTCGGGTGCCAAGAGAATCAAGTTTTAGATATCCGCTGCAGCACCAAAGGAGGTCCGAGATCGCATTCGTGTGTAAATCTGGATGCTTTCCAAGAGTACTAACTGTTGTATTGTAAGCCTAAACTGATTGAATGATCGGCACTAGGAAACACTATCGTCTCGCTTACGTTTATTTGACAGAAAAAGTCGCCCACTGACCATAAATTTGGTCCGCATTGTACAAACCATGTCGAGGGTAATCGCAGTAAACTCCACCAACTCAGCAGCTACCATATACTTCAAGTGAAAAGGACTTAGGTATTACTGTTCAAGAGGATTTAAGCTGTTCCATCAATTGTGCTAAGGCTTCATCCGCTGCTGTGAAGAATGTCGGCTTACTTCGGCGAGTCTTTGGAAGGTTTGAATCATCACTATTCCCACGTTTGCTATCAGCGTACATTCGACCCTACACAGAGTACGCAATCCAAGCTTGGATTCCATGACTTGAGTGTCCACAAAGGATGGCCACCAAGATGGTCAAGGGATAGCATTACCTGACATATGAGGAGGGATTACGATCATTGGGACTATATTCTGCTCAGTACCACCGAACTCGGGGAGACTTGATTTTGACGTATCAAATATTGCAGAACCCAGACCATCCGTGTCGATCGCTGCTCATGTTATCGAACAATGTACATCTAAGGGGACACCGTTTCAAGCTAATGATTCCAAAATGTCGACTGGAATGCCGGTGCCAGTCTTTTGCAGTCAGAGTATGCAGTTCTTGGAACGCCCTTCCATCTCATGTCGTTTGTGAAACCACTACTGAATCTTTCAAGCAGAGACTCGTTGAAACCTTGGCACACCTCACATTCGGACACCACTAAAAGCAAACGCAAATTCACTGTAGCCTACATCCTCTATTATCTCCTACCTGGATCTCTATGTGACTTCTTTTTCGGCGTGTAACGATTCATCTGAGTAAATATCCTATGGGGACAAGAGAAGCGCGAGCTTGTAAATTATTCCCATAATAAAACTTTGACTTTGAACTAAATTCCTCTTATCGTTTCAACTGATGCACAAAAAGAGAGGAATTGTGATGATCCTAGCTTACAGGATAACGCCAGCTACGGGGCGATGCGCTACAGTTTCTGGACAACGAACCACAGACCAATAGTATTTACCAATCGGAAGCCGTGTGGTTCAAACTGAAGGTGTAAGACCTCAAGAATGTAAACAGGTAATTGACAGACCTGTTTGACCAATGACGTTTATTGTGGAACAATATTAAATCAGGTTGATCTAGCTCAATAAACTAACCGCTACTTCTGTGGCCTTTTTCCTGCACCTCGGTGGTGGGACATTCCAGCCCACGATTTCTTGGTTCATTCGAGGTTGTGATTGATAATCCATGATTCGTGCGTATTGCAATCACTACAGTTTTTCAGTCCCTGTCACGTGATTCGGGCAGTAATGTGGTGATCCAGACTTCCGTGACCGCAATCCATGCACGACGCGGTACAGTTTCATGTCATCCAATCACCGTTCAGGAAGCTCGACCAATGGCACACCGAGCGAACATGACATCCGAGTTAGCACATATGATACATCGGTGCAAACGGTTACGTGATTAGAGGATGCTCGTTCAACCAATCATATGGACTATTACATTCTATAAAACATGCTCTAATTCCATCAATGAAGATAAGCATTTGCTGCTATCAATTCCTCGTGTATTTCATTGGTGTCTGCAGTTCGGGTTGGAGCCAATTCAGTTCTGAGCAGTACAATACGGGTTCTCGTATTCCGATATTCAATACTAGTTCGATTACTACAAGTAATCCAAATGGTTACATTCTTTCACACACTATTTATTCTTCTCTCCTATAATTCTCAGTGCTTTTTAACAGTGATTTCATCTGGTTTTCTAGGCCTCTTAAATTATTGTCCCGATAAGTTAGGCTTAAGTAGAACAGCATTTGCTAAGCATTTTGTAGCATGTGACGGGGTTGTTGATAACACGACCCAGACGCAGGAAAAACACCATGGAAGTAGCGAATCGTTCCCATGGAGAATCCAGACAAATTAAATAATATGTGCTGAGAGAATACCATTAGTCCAGAAGGAGTGTTAACCGATCAGCCTTCGTGTTCTTCCACTCACTGGATTTCTGAATGAGCCCTGGCTAAATTGATTGGCCTAAAGTATTGACTCCTTGTGGATCGTTACAACTCTCTAACGTGCAGCATACTGCTTAGCATTATTTCGGACCTTTGAATAATCAAAGACAACTACTGTATGTTTGATATATCCAATTTTTCTCCTAAAATAGTGCATTCCAGTTTAATCACAAACAAATAGCAATGAACAGCCAATACCCTGAAATGTGTGTGTATATGCGCCCCTTTACGCTGGATATTGTACTACAATTTCCTATAGTTCTCCGTGTCTTTACTTTGCTGTTTATTCATAAATCAATTTTAATGTGGATGTACTACCACCAGCTTCGGTAGAACATAGGATCAATCGAACACTTTGGCAATTGGTCGTTCAGTTTGTGTCATGTCAACGCCTCACTGAGCCTTTGAGACTACGGTGTTTGTATTTTTTGCCTAGTTATAGATTTTCACTTTACTCTTTCCGTGACTTAACTCCTGTCCTGTTCTAGACTTGGCCAATATTCGATTGTCTGGCCCAACCGTTCCCCGGGAGACATTCTAATGCATTGTCCAACCTAAGCATATTGCAACAATGGACTGACTGAGTAGCCGAGATTATTCCAAATCGAACCGGAGCGAGTTCAGGACGATGAATGGGATGGAATTCAAACTGAAAATGAATCAAACATGCCAGACTCCCAAAAAATAAGTTACTAGAAACTATTCAGGACCGTTTAACTTTCTAGAAGCTCCCTCGTTACCTCGATCTACGGAGTGATAAGAATCTTCACGGTATCCTGACAGTAGCTGTGACAAATGTTGGACTCCTAACCATCCTGCCAGTCACTGTTGTTGTTGGTGCTGCTGCTGCTGCTGCTGCTGCTGCTGCTGCTGCTGCTGCTGCTGCTGCTGCTGCTGCAAACAAAAGTTCCAAAAATTTCGCTGTCCGTCTGTTTCCGGAAATGACTTGGATTAAATATGGTTGATTATGGCTGTTACCGCACAATAATTCATTTTAACCACAGTGTTTGTTTCATGAGATAGACAATTGTTTGATAGATTTTTAGAGAGTAAGAAACTGTCAATCAAACGATTGTCATGGAGTGTGTAGTAGCGGGGATTATGCTCGCTTGGGGTCGGATTCAAGTGTGCGATCACCAGACTGATGAGATGGTGAAACTCACCACTCGATCACTGTCGTCATGACCCATTGGCATGTGATTCCGCCTTATTGATAGTCACGAAATACTTTAAAGTCTGACTCATACAAAGAAGGTCGAGTTATCCAGATCGCGAGAACTATATCAAATGTGACTGGTATCATGAAAAATGAATTCATCCAGTGGAACTTGGAAACACTAAGTCACTATTTTTCCTTGTTAGAAATCATTATCAGCGGTGAATAATTACCAAACCTGATAATCTAATTCCATTCTGGACTCGTGGAGTTGTGAATCCAACACACTAACCGGGCTGTCCCTGAGCAGCTGATTCCAAGTAAACATCGCATAATATGGCACTTATTCATGGCTATTATACTCTGTGGCACAATAGATCATACGGTGCTCGAACCTCGGGTACGAATGCTAGTTTGTCAGACTGGGACCCCTAGTTTCCGAGTTCTTATCCCAGTGAGTCCCGAAAATTAGGGACTGTTGATGATCCGTGGCAACCGCATGTTTCCAAGGCTTTTCGGCGCTGAGCGACAAGTGAATGCTGCGTGACAAATCTATCTGTTACGCACATAACAAATGCACCATCAATAATAATAATAATAATAATAATAATAATAATAATAATAGTGCATATCCACAAAACCTCTGCAGACCGAAGAGAATTGTTAATTGTAAAGTTGGCATGGTTAGTGGGTTAAATAGAACAAAAAATTCAACTAGAAACATCCAAAGCGCGATGTCATCAAAGGTTCTGAATTTTTTATCAAGCAGTTCGCCAGCCCGTTTGCACGCGGAATTCGCTTAACTACTCCAGGATCTCCTGTTCATTTTTGAATACCGTGAAAATCCGAAGACTGGTGTCTCATACTACTCATATAATATGAGTAGTGTATCACAACATAACTGCTACTATTACAGCAAAGCCAACAGTGCTTTCGATAATGCAAAGTTTAGTTCTTGAAGTGAACCTCTCTCGCAAACGTAGCTGTCTCCCACAAACAACATGTCACTGTGGGAGGATTCCGACAATCACT